CCTTGATTAGAGAATATTGTGTGCGCAAATTCTGAATGTTCCTCGGTCCATTGTTAAGAGGTTGTACATAAACACAGTTAATTGGCAACGCGCGCGCTTCATTCACCTGTTTGGCGCGGGAAAACGTGTAAGCGTCGAGCTACCCCAGTGCGCACCACATAAAAAATGACATACACGCGTCTTAAGCACTTTGGTGTTCAAGGGTCTTTGCCTAAAAAACAAACCGCGTGCAGTCCCAAAATTCTATTGTTATTAAATTTGCCATATAAGGCAAACGCAATCATTTCGAACAAGAAGATTTCCGCCATGAAGGAAATTTATCATACAAGCTTGGTTCCGGTGCTTTAATGTGAAGGCGAATTACTACCTGTCACTCGATTTTAGGTTGCTTTTAAGATGTAACGCTGGGATGATGGCGTTTTAAGAACTAAATGAACATAAAGTAGCCGAGATTTATGCGGAAAAATCACAAGTTTTCAGCGGAGAATGTGTAAATTCGAAGACCCCTCGTAGCTTTCGACAATAGAGATTGAATTGCCCGTGAAACAGAAAGCCAGCTGTCTTGGGAAAAATTGAGCAGAGATGCAAGAAAGTGAACAATTGCAAAATAAAATCTTCAGAAATCAAAATATCTTTCTAAAAGGAAAGCAGAGAATTTCTGATGTTTTCCAAATATGTTTTTACAAGGAAATTTCTACAATTTTTTGTATTTTTACACCAGGATACAATGTCTTGAATCTATATTTTAGCCTTTAAATGTCATTTGAAAAAGACTTCCTAGTCTTTCAATGGATGAAAACAGAATTTTATTTGTCTATTACCGACTGGAACTAGTTAAATTTTTTCGAAAGTAAAACTAATTTTTGTTCCCTTGTCAAGTACGATAAAAAAATAATACTCGCAACCTATTATTTCCAAACGTGAATTATTTCGACAAAATTTGTCCAGTTTATTTAACATGTCATGTGAATTGTAATCGAAGGAGAATCAAATCGTTTGCGTCGACTCGTTCATTAATTTTTCATAAAACTCGAAGAATATAATGTAATGGTTTAACTCGTGCAAATCCATTACGGGGCTAAAATCAAACGGGTATCGGTCAAGGAAAGAAAAAAAGCTTAATATATACCATGACTAGTTTAGCTTTTGAAAGAGAATACAGATAGTTGGCAAACGTTTGACAGTTGAATGTCGTTTTCTTTTCTGTTTATTCCGGTGCGCTGTCAGACTTTCTTCCAATTTGCCATAACTCTTACTCAAATGTATGTCTTGAGAACAAGAACATATTTGCATTTTGTTTCAACAAAGAAGCCCTTTTGTTGACATTTGATGTTGCTTGTCAATCCAGTCGCGCGAATCGTGGCCCTCTTGTGAGCGATCAAATTGAAAATATTGACATGCGAGTTACCTTTTGATGGAAATCAAAGTTTATTATTGTTAAAAATGTTTCCTCAGATTTTCCGATATTTTTATTTTGATACCGAATGAGCAAAGTAACATTAAAATCAACACAGAAAGCCATTAACTGTTATTTTTCGTATTATTTTCCTTTGCATTCGGTTCAGGGTAATATTACAGATAACTTGAGGGTGTTGTTTTCATTTCAAAACTTTTCTTGGGCACTTTTATCACATTTGAACTAATTTGTATGAAATTCAGCGCATGTAAAAGGATTTTTTGTTCCATTTTCGTACAAACGTGAGAAGATATTTCGGCGAAACCTAAGATCTGATTTATTACCACTTGGCTCTTATCAAGAAATTAATTGAAATTTTCTCTGCTGTTAGTACTTGTTAATGAAGTTGCCGATAGTTATTCGAATTTCAGCATTTATTAATTTTACGGCTTTTGGGTAAACATCATTTGTTTTTGCACATTCTAACCGAAAACCACTTAGATATCTTAGCAACGAAAATTTTTACTTCCTCGAATATTGTTTTTAATATTCCGCTGATGTATTTCAAAATCAAAACTTTTGGCCCTCAATGTAAGGGGTAACATTAAGTTGTTTTGAAAATGAATAGCATAGAATTACATTTTCAAAAGATTTCCAGAGATCCTTTTCCTTGTTTCCAATGAACCATGCTTTGAGGTGTTTTGTTCAAGCGACAATAAAATTCACGCGGAGACTACATGTTTGTCGATCGCCCACAATTTGCAAATTAAACTAAAAATTTTCTCATTGTCCAATGCGTCATAAACGTAAGATTTGAATAGCAAAACTTTCAGTTAATTGCATGACGAAAATTTGAAAATACTCTTGGGTCAGAATAAAAGAAGTTAATTTTCGTGAGAAGAAACGAGCTGGGTATCCTTTTGAAACAACTACATAATCCCTGTTCTGGTGCGATAGGCACGTACAGGAACTTGTTCTTAAAAAAATAGGAAACACTCTTCTCCGCCGGTGGCTTTTTGATGAAAGAGTTTTCATTTCAAAATGAAGTGGAAAAAGACATACAGTCTGTAGACAATCACGAACTCATTTGTATAGTCACACAAAAATATCAGATTTAAAGAGCTAATGAGGCTTGAATACAAAATAAACAACGAAAAAGAAAACCGACTGATCTCTGTTTTAAAGCATGTTTCCATGGCACAAAGAAAACTCGATGAGGTCTCACAACATTCGTTACTTAGCGGGGCAAATTAAAATCTAGAAATAATTCCATGGTGTAGTTTTATTCCAATTTCGCGGATTGATTATTTTACAGGTAATCTTTGCTTTAGTGCGGTTTTGCAAATTAATCTACCGAACATGTCGAAGAAATAAAACAATGCATTCAAAAAGTTCATAATGGGAGACGAAATGACATTAGCGCAAGCTTACGCAGAGAAATTTCTCCTACGCAACATCTGTCATTAATTGATCGAAGTCAAATTGTGTCTCATAACACAATATTTCTTCCAGAAGAAAATGTGTTGTTTGAAAAGAGATAGATCTTTTGTTATTGATAAAAAATTTTCCTCCTGCTGCGACGAACACAAATATTTGTTAGCTTTTTCTCAAAGGAGGAAGCTTAATTGCCAAAATACTACTATTCTTGGCCGTTCAGAGCGTTATGAAAGATCATTTGGGTAACATCGCAGCCAATCTGTGTCAATAGTTCTTATCGGCTTTCACTATTAAAGGATCATAAATTTCAAATGCGCTTCGCCGCACTTTTTCTTTCAACAGATCATGAAAAAACTCATTTCTCTCGAGGTTATGAAACAATTGAAACAGACTTAAACGGGATTAAAATTTAGCTTGAGTATAGCAGTCCCTTCGGACTTAGATTGATGATTTTCAGAGTTTTTTGAATACATAAAGTTGACATTTTTATGTAGGTTTGGTATTTTTTAAATACATGTCCTATTTTCTACGGACAAAAGAAGCTGCTCGTTATAAAATTTAGTCTCTTTTTGTAAACTCACACGAAATATTAAACTTCTCGGAAAACGTATAACTGAAGTACAATTGGACATAACTGAGTAAATTTTGAGAAAAATTATAATAAACCGGTAATATTGACATGATATATTTTTTCTACCTTGCAGTTTAAGGGTGCATTTCTTCCCGTAAGCCCGCTCTAAATATCATCCTTTAGGGAAACATAGCTGCTGAGATCAACAGTTCTATGTTCCAACTACTCGTGACTTCATTCGGAATCTGAAACTCTCAATGTCTATCATTTTGGTCTCCTTTGATTTAATCGCATTGTCGTTATTCTATAAACTTGTATCGTCTAAAGCAATTTCTAGAGAGAAGCAAGAAAAGCCATTCGATTGTGTTTCGTTTGATGCCCCTCCGTCGGAGAGCCCGCAGTCTCTATGGCTGATCAACAATTTTAAAGATCGGTTTCCAGGACAATTTCCCCGTACCTAACCCTATCCCCTTATTCTATCCTGACCTTGTCTGAGCCAGCGAGCAGACTCTTATTATTACCGCTGCAGGATGCGCGTTTGTCTAGATCTGCCCGCAGGAAAATTTTAGACGAGTTGGAAATGCGAGCCTTTTACTCGTGACGTGACATTCACTTGGCACATGAACTGTGATCATGTAATTGGAACGCCTAGTGTCCTCAATTTGGCGCAAAAAACCCCCACCCCATTTTATTCCATGGAAATAAAATTCGATGCCTGTCTTGTTTTAAACACCTAAGGCAATAACTGCTTCTTTTGCCCTTTGGACCCTCTCAGAGTGATTAACATCTTATTTTAAAAAATCATAAATTAGTGAGCAGCTATGCAAGCATCAAAATAAACGCGTTTCGTCTGACAATAGCAGACTTCCTTAGGGAACGTTGAATAGGGTCTTAATAAGTAGAGTATATATTTTCGATCCTCACACATAGTTTGAAGCAGGTCTGTGACACCCAAACACATCACGTACTCTTTTACATGTAACGTTCGAAAAACGTCACGCATGTATAACATCTTTGTCACACCTTGCGAATACTTTCTGCTTGCTCGAGAACTTGAAGCTTATTGCAGGGTCGTAACAAGGTATATTTTTTCATAACTGATCCTGTATTTTTGCCCCAAATTTTGATCCCTGATCACAAAAACGTTGAGAATTTTAATCCCTGATCACAAAAACATTGAGAATTTTGATCCCTGATCCCAAAAACGTTCACAATTTTGATCCCTGATTCCACTAAAACACTGCTGATCCCGATCCCAAGTGTTGTGATCCCAGATCCCGGGGCTGTGATCCCTGATCTCATATACCTTGTTACGACCCTGTTATTGCGCTCCTAGCTCAGGTAGCTAATGTGCCGAGTCAAAAAAATAAAATATTTGAATATTAAAAAGATGAAAGTCGATTAGAAAATATTTACATCTGAAAGTAATCATTTCGCAAAAATTCCCTTGCATTATCGAAGAGTCAAAAATTACGGCTTCGAAAATAAAGGAAATAACTGATGGTTAAACAAATTCTCCTTGTCAGCACCGCAGGAAATGTTTAGAGACATACGAAGGCAGGATGTATAGCGTCTGATTTCAAAGTCCGTCCCCTCCCTGCCTTGGTCTAACGCCATCACTACCGATATCAACGCGCTTCCAAATTGAACACGCTCTTTGAAGTGGAATCTTACCCGTGACTGCCAAGCGTTTCGATTTGAATAGGTTATTCTTGCATTCTCTTCATTAATGTTTCCGTTTGCTCTCTGTACGAAATGCCAATAGCCTCGCAAATCAGACGAGGTTTCTACGGTGTTACAACGAAAAAGCCGGTTCGGACGGCCGCCGCTTATGTGATATCTTTGGTGGTCGGAATTCTGTTGCTGAGGAGATTGTCGCAGCGAGGTACGTCGAGTTTTCAGCGTAAATTATAAATTTAAGTTGTGTTCAATTTTACTCTTTTATGCCCGTGGGATGTATCGTTTATCGCGAAACCAAACTAACTTCGGTTTATTGTTTTACCATCGGGTAACATTTTGTAGATGTCTAGTGTTACATAATGGACATCGATACCGGAAAAAAAAAAAAAAAACAGAACCCTCATGCCGGCCGGTAGCTACCTATTTTTTCCCAAACCCATAGCTTTATGTTTTATCTGGAATGGCTTTTCTGTCAAGGCATCACTGAAATTTGAAGCCGCCATCATAGTATTACACAAAGGTATATTGATGAAAGAATTCGCGATCACGAAAAATGGACCTTGGCAAATTATACTTCTGATTATCAGCCTAAATCGTTCCCACCCTCGGTGAGGTGTTTCCCTACCCCGTTAATTATTTTCTTTTACTCTTTGTTGATAATGATTTCGTTTTATTTGAATTTAATTTCGGACAGATTAAGAGGCATTTAAATTGCGACAGTTCTTTCAGATAACAATATCCTGCTGTTGGCAAACCAACAGATATGTCACAAATTTACGAAAACTGGCTTATCCAACAGATTTATACTTTGAGTAAAATTATTTCCTTTCAAACATTGATCCGTTTTCCGCCCAATACACAAAGCAAACAATAGGTTTGTAAACCAACAACTGTGATATCTTGGGCTGAGATGTAGTAATAATATAACTTTGTATTGCGTGACTCGACACATCACCTTGACTGTGTCACGCTTCTAAGTTAACACACGAAGAGCCTTACTGCTTACTAAATCCCGAACAATTAGTTAAATCTGCAAAATTTCGCAGGAATAAATTTAAAATTCAAAATTTAGTGTCACACCTCGTCAACTTTGAAAAGGGGGGAGGGGGGTCTCACATTTTAGTGATTTCGAAACGAATTCCTGTTTTATCTTTTGTCTACCTCCGTAGATAAAATTATTTATATACTTTTTCTTATTGTTGCTAAATTTTTGGGGTTCATATTTTGAATACTAATTATGATTTTCGACGCCGCGTGACTCGACGATAGTTTTTTCGTCAGTGGTCACATTTGACTTAGGAGCGTACAAATAAAATCAGACCTCTCTAAATGTAGAATTGCAGCTAGAAGCCTCATGACAGTCTGCAGTTGTAGAACGATTAATGAGCGAAATCATCAATTTCGGTCCGTGGATTCTTTTTCCATATTCCTAACTTATCTGGGACGATGTCATTATTTATCACGGGGGGGGGG